ATGACACTTTTTTCATATAACCACATACTGCTATAACAATTTCTTAATATCAAGTATCCAGTCAAGTGTTAAAATTTTCCTAATTATTTCATAAATATTTATTTATTAAAATCTGGGCCCAAATATAGTCCAAACATTACTATTAATCTCAAATTTCCTCCTTCATTTCTTTTTTTCTTCCTGTAATTAATTTGTTGTAAAAGCCAAGTTGTGTGTCCCAAGAACTTCCCCAAAGCCTAGATTTTGCTGACTGCATCCCCAATGGTTATCATTTCATTTGTTTCCCTGTCTTCTATGTTTCCTGTAAACAAGAAGTTAGAACTAGAGGCTTGATCTGATTCAGTTCAATTTTTTGGCAAGAATACCTCCTAAATGATGTTGTGAATTTTCATTAAGAGAAACCTAATGCCTGGTTGTCTTTCTGCGATGTAAGCAACCACTGATGATCTTTGCTTGGGTCCAGGAATTCATTACAAAACAGTGATGTTTTGCTCAGCTGGCGTGGTTCAGTGGTTGAGCATCGACCTATGAACCAGGAAGTCATGGTTGCATCTGATCAGGTCACATACCCAGGCTCCATGCCCCAGTAGGGAGCATGCAGCAGGCAGCCAATCTATGATTCTCTCTCAGTATTGAGTTTCTATCTTTCTCTCTCCCTCTCTCTTCCTCTCAGAAATAAAAAAAAAAACAACGTATTTTTAGAAAGCGGTGATGTTCTATGTTTCACTCCTTCTTCATTTGTTAACTAGAATACTCCTGAAAAAAAGAAACTTCCTTCCCTTCAAGTATAGTTAGTTCCTTAGCATACTCCAAAGAAAACTAATGAGTTGTTTTAAAGTGTCATTATGAACTTACAGATTTAAACATATGTTATATGACTGATTATACTGTAGTTATTAAACTTGCTGATGCTCATCTTTGGCCAGCCACAGTCCATGCAGTTAAGCACCTTAGTTATTTTGCCATGCCTTATTACAGTTTGATAACTTCCTTACAAGGTGTTCAAGGCCCCAGAAATAGAATAAGCTTTAGTCATAAGTCACATTCCCATATAAATAGTTTCTTTCTTATCTTTATATCTACTAAATTAAAAATTCCTAACTCTTAATTATAAATCAAATGTGTTATACATTCTGGGTTTTATAACAAAACATGGACCCAGAATTGTAGCAGTATTTCTCACAGAAGTCTACTTTTAGCATTTCATTGACTGGCCCTCAAAAAACATATCCCACTTAAAATTCAATGTTGAATGCTTCAATTTTGAGAGACTGGCTCAAAAAGATTCCTAATCTATTCTCAGCTGGCATTTTTGCTCTGGAAAGTATTTCTTAGTGTTCCATTTCAAAATTTGGATATGTTTTTTAAAGATGTACAATAAAAATGCAGTTTTTCTTTGATAAATTAATAAGCTCATCAAGTATTGGGAAATTATCAAACTCTTAGAAACTGAATCATTTTGTACCATAATTCAGACTTTTTATAGAATCCTCATTCCTCATCCTTAACATTAAAACTCATGATACTGTGAATATGAATTAAGTTCTATTTGAAATACTAAATGTATTTACTAAGTCATGCCCCTCTGAGATAAGAAACATGGAATTATCAATAATAAATACTTATTTTGCTAGAAAACTAATTAACAAACATGTAAGCCCTGTCATACTACACGGCTAGCAAACGTCACTGTGGAAAAGCAGGATCCTATATGTACCTGCTGACCATTCCTTCACAAAACATGGCTTTAATGGCCAAAAATTGCTTGCTTCCACAATTTTTACTTTTTTCTTCAACATTAAATCACAATGAGAAATCACACCACATCAGAATTGCCAGCTCTTCTCTCTGATAAAAGAGGGGTATGAATTGATATCCTGGTACAATTTCTTTTACTCATAGAATTGATATCCTGGTGCAATTTCTTTCCTGCAGTTTAAGTGACTGGGCTTGGATCAGAGGAAATAATGCAACTTTTCCAGGCAACAATGGCTTAAAAAAAACAATCAACCACTACCGACAACAAAACAAAGCAATGACAAAATACTCTTCGGCAGTAGTGTGCATTTCTCAGTGGTAACAGTTACACATCTATATGAAGTCTTAGTATGTCCTCTGCACATCAGTGCTTTCATCACACTGAAAAACAAAAATTCTGCTAGCCTGCACACATGACAATAATTGCTTTTCCAGATGATATGCCTTTGATAAGGGAATTTTGGCCAAAAGCTCATTTTACTTTCTCTCCAAGCATAATATTTGTCATTAACTTTGAAACTGGTTTTACAAGCTTCTGAGCAGTAGTGCGAGTTGACCTGTTTGTTGCTATGAGAAAAATAACTGTGGCTGACACTTCAGCAGTGTGGTCTTCTGTCTTCAGCAACATTCTTTAATTTCACACTGAAAAGCATTATTTTATGTAATTATACTTATTACATTCTTTTTATCACAAGTCTAAAAAATAATTACTATCATAGAAAAGGAAACTAAGGCAGAAATAGTAATAATTCAATTCCCCAGGGTAGCACGAAAATAGAAAAACCGAAATGTGTGCTCTACCACAGAGAAAACTATGGCAAGAGAATACCTATTTCCTTAGTACACCTTGTTGAAATTTGTTTTCAAAGATTTTCTTGAATCCAAATAAAATATTTCTAAAAGGTACCACTTTAACTTAATGTAAACGATATTTCAAGACATAACTTACAAATGTTCCTGGCCCTAAATTATGTACTGATTTTGTTTTGTTTTCATACCTGCCCCCCCCCCTCCAAAAAACCCCCACACTCTCAAAATCTAAAGACCTCTCAAAAAATTTACAAGAAAATATTGTCAAAATGTATTATATAAAATTCCTGAGCACATGATTGCAAAATTTTCACTTTTCTTCACTTTCAAAAGGAAAAATGACAAATATTAATAGGGATATCACTCTGTGAAAGCTTGCAAATGAGTGAAGAGAGAGAAGAAATTGATGAATTAGAAATCCCTAATTAAAGATTTAAGCAACCTAATTTGGCTATGTGGCAGTTTTACAAATCCTATATAATAAAAGGCTAATATGCAAATCGACCAAATGGCAGAACAACTGGTTGCTATGATGCACACTGACTACCAGGGGGCAGACGCTCAATGCAGGAGCTGACCCTGGTGGTCAGTGCACTCCCACAGCGGGAGCACTGCTCAGTCAGAAGCCAGGCTCACGGCTAGTGAGCGCAGCAGCAGTGGCGGGAGCCTCTCCCGCATCTGCAGCAGCACTAAGGAGCAGGCCTAAGCCAGCAGTCGGACATCCCCTGAGGGCTCCCAGACTGCGAGAGGGCGCAGGCTGGGCTGAGGGACTCCCCCGAGTGCATGAATTTCATGCACCGGGCCTCTAGTAGAATCATTAAGTAGACCAATTAGTCAGTAAATTCACCTGATCAAACTTCCTACTCCCTAATCTTAACTTTTGTTGAGATCTGAATACAGAACTTAACTATATTACTCAGAAAGGGGTTCTAAATTATGATTTTATGTGTTCATTTTATAATTGCTTTTAAATGGTGTTCAGATTAGTGTATTTAGCCTCCCTAGCCCCAGAGTAAGTGTTCTGAATGAAAGATGTTTTCAATTTCATTCATAATAAAGTTATAGAATAATTTATATTCTTCCACATATCTAAAATCATTCTTTGCAAAGCTTAGACATTCTACTAATGTTGTTAAATGAAAGTAAGAAGGAAAGACATTTCAAAAATTAAGAGAAATGATTCTGATAATAAGACAAATTATATATGTAATCATCATTACCATTTGATTCGAAATGACATCCAGAAATTTTAGAAAATGACAAAAGAAATTTAGAATAGATACATCTACTAGCTGCCAGAGTTCTAAAACCTCTCATCAAAGTAAGCTAACTCTTGTTTATCTGCTATTTGATTTGAGGTAACCTTTCTTTGGCAAAAATTACTCAAATTATACCATCCCTTTCTAGAAGGTAATCCATTTTTTTAAACTGCAGCAGTCTTAGAATTTTTCAATATCATGGATTTTTATTACTTTAGAATTTACTACTTTATATGTTCTTCCAAAACAGAACAAAATGAAATAAATAAATCCAAGTAATAAGTGATAAATTTTTGTCATATTTTTATCTTTTCTATATTCCAGCATGATTAATTTATAAACCTCTATAATGTATGCAAAGAACCAACCAACTTGGACCTATCCCCTAAAATAATTATCTTTCCATACCTTCTGCATATTTGGAAAAAGATAATTTAAAAAAATATTTGTTTTTTACATGAACACCTAACTACCCTGTTTGGAATTTATATGTATTTTAGAAAAATAGGAAGCACTGTGTTTGTTTTCCACTAACATGATGTTTCCTTTGATTGTTTTCAGTTATTTTATGTAGCCTTCAGAGTGGGGACCCACCCCATAATTTGGAAGTATCACTTGATTCTTTACATATCTCGGTTTTCTGGTGCAAGTGAAACTAACCCATCAAATCCCAAAAGCCCTACAGGCACAGTCTATAAGGAGTAAAAGTGACACTTCTTGGTGAATAGAGAATCCTTAACAACAAATGAGAAGAATAGGAGAGGAAGGTTTCCAAACCAAACTAAGGGACAATCACTAAGATCTCTTGTATCATGTGAGCAGGCTCTATCAGAGTGCTGAATTCAGTTGCTCATCTCAGAGGGTCATGCCATAAATAAAATAATTATTAAACTGGCATTTATTTATTTCAGTTCTTCTAACATAGTTTTAATCTGCACACGGTATGTACCTTAATTTCATATAATGGACACACTTTCCTAATTATAAAGATTACCTCCTTTTAAAATCTGGATCTTTTCTCGGTTTTGGGGAAAAGTGAGCTGGGGAGAGGGGTAAACTCTCCAATAGCCATTCCAACATAAAAATTTAAACTTCTGAAATATTTATATAAAAACCAACATTATAAAACGACTGCTAAGGAGTCAAATTAAAATAAAATTATACCTCAAATACCTTAGAAAGTAGAAATTTCTAAATGTTGGTGTCTTCATTTGGAAGCAAAAATTTCTACTGCACAATCTTGCCTGATGGTCCTTGATTTTCTCATTAGTCGGTTCCAGTTACATTTCCATTAGTGTGGATAGCTCTAAAGTAGGAGAAAGAAGACACAATTAGTCTACTAAAAATATTACAGGTTAAATTTAGATATTGTAACACATCATTGTTTTCCTACAAGCAAACAAAGATCCTTATACAGATGCTTTCATTGTTAAAGAAATGTCAAAGCCCATTCTTCTCCCTCCTAAAGATTTTAAAAATTGAAATTAAAGATTAAAGGTGGAAAAAAGAAAGAAAGTTGATAAGAGGTAATTAGTTACTAGCTTTAAAGCAGTCAGATCCCCAAAGAAGGTATGCAGCAAATTGGTATATGCTTTGCACTGGTACTCCAAGGAGACAAGGGGCTGGTGACTATCAGCTCACTCATCAGAGTTGCTGACATCATCCCAGCAACAGTAGCCTCAGTAACCAGTTTTAGGTAAAATGGAAAAGTAGGAAGAAACAGGGTTTCCAGCAGAAGATCACCTCTATGATAAGGAAGCACCCAATATGATGGCTACTATTCATTCCCAGGTCATTGTCCGTGGGATAAGACAAATTGGATTTCACTGAACTAATGGTAGTGCTGTGTCTTCCCACTCTGCCTCAAAGCTAATGCCAAACAGTGGGGGATTTGTAGATATAAGAGAATGCTTAAGAAACGTAAGCCCTACCTGCTTTCATTAAAGTTCAACTGCTTTAGGCTTTACCACCCAGGGTTACTATTATACCCTTTAGATCACAAAGACACAGTGGATCAGGCTCCAGAAAAAATCATTGTACCACAGGTCAATTCAGGAATCTTGCTAGTTAATTCTACCCGTGCTCTCACCCTTGTCACCCTTGGACTTTGTTCAAAACACAAACCATTCTGGCCAACTACCCTCTCTCCTATTTTCATGCCCACAATGTTCTCTATGCTTTCTCAGTCACTCATGTGTTCCCCCACTATTCCCCTTCCTGCTAATCTTTTCTTCAAAGACCTCTGGAGGCCCTATTTACATAGCAAAACAAATCGCCTCTACACCCTCAACCATATCACTGAACACTCCTTTCAGCCACCAGTCTAAATCTGGCTCTTGAAAGTTCTAGAGTGAAGGCTAAGACAGTAGATCCACCTTCTCCACAGTGACACTTCCAGACCCAACTCACCAGCAACCCCATTACTTCCCACAAGCTCACACCATCTGACTGCCCCACCCTCTACTTCTCTTTGTCATTCAATATCCCACTTTATTTTTTTTTCTAATCTGGGTCCACCCTCAATACCTTCCATGCACTGTGCCTACTCTCATCTCTCCGGCTGCTGTATTATCTATCACGTCTCAAAATCTTGGTTGTCACCCAAGCTATCAGTCCACCTAGTATGTTACCTTCTTTCTTCCACGTCACCACCCTCAAATTCCTAATCCTGGGGCAACTCAATCACCTTTTTTTTTTTTTTTTAAGATATTTTATTGATTTTTTTTACAGAGAGGAAGGGAGAGGGACAGAGAGTCAGAAACATCAATGAGAAAGAAACATCGACTGGCCGCCTCCTGCACACCCCCTACTGGGGATGTGCCTGCAGCCACAGTACATGCCCTTGACCGGAATCGAACCTGGGACCCTTCAGTCCGCAGGCTGACGTTCTATCCACTGAGCCAAACCGGTTAGGGCTCAATCACCTTTTGAAACACACACACACACACACACACACACACACACACACACACACGTAGACTGATCCTGCTATAATATAATATTAGGGTCTTCAAATTCAGTTAGACACTAAATGCTATCGAGTATCCCTTTTATATGCCATTAATCGGGTCTTTCTCCCATAACTCACAATGTCTTTCCAAATTTTTGCCACTCCTCCTCTCGCAGACCCATGGGGAGGGGAGGAGGGGAGATGGGAGAGGGGTCTTCTTGTTTTTATTAACATTTGTGTAGGTTGTTTATAATGTGAAGATACTATTTCTTTCACTTTTAACATTTTCTCAGTCTATTATTGGCTTTTAATAGTTTTTATTTTAGGTGGCCAGATTTGTCCACCATTGTCTTTTTCATTTATTTTATTATGACTCTGCTTATAAATTTCTGATAGCAGATAGTCTGATTTTCACTTTTCTGTGGGATGTTTGAAGCCTTCATTCCAAATGATGTCTGATCTAATCTAAATTGTATTCCAAACTGCCCACCAGTTTTCCTAATATTAATTCTCACAAACTATCTTAACCAAAATTAGAAAAATAAATCCAGCAATATTTTAAAAAGCAATGTGTATTATAATCAAATAATATTATCCCTGGAATGTGATATTAGTTCAATAGAAAAAAAATCCATCAATTTAATTCACCATATCAACAGACTAAAACGTAAGTGATCACTTTAATAAATGCAAAAAAAAATTAGAAAAAACTCAGCCATTCATGACTCAAAACTCTCAGAAAAGTAGGAACAGAAGGGAACGTCCTCAGCACAGCACATGAATCTACAAGTCTATAACTGATATCAGACATAATCATGAAAGACGAAATGTTTTCCCTCTAAGACTGGGAATAAGGCAAGAACATCTCTCTCACAACTCCTATTCAACACTGTACTGTACTGCAAGTATAATAATGCAAGAGAAAGAAATAAAAACCTAAAGATGAAAAGAAAGAAGTCTTCTTTCACAAGTGAAAGGATTGCCTATATAGAGCACCCTAAAGAATCCAACACTAAAGGCAGCAAGTGAACTAAGGATATTGCAGATACAAGGTCAACATACTATAATTCTATTTCTACATGGTAGACATTTAAAAAATAGTAACAATTATATTAGCCATCAAAAAAGAAATGCCTAAGGCCCAGCTGGTTTGGCTCAGTGGTTGAACATCGACCTAGGAACCAAGAGGTCCCCACTTCAATCCCGGTCAGGGCATTGATCCCCAGTGGGGGCCATGCAGGAGGCAGCCAATCGATGATGTTCCTCTCTCATTGATATTTCTATCTCTCTATCCCTCTGCCTTCCTCTCTCTCTAAAAATCAATAAAAATATATTTTTAAAAAAGAAATATCTAAGCTAAATATAACAAAATAAATGCAAGATTTGTGTGCTCAAAAATACAAAACACGAAGAGAGGGAATCAAAGACCTTAATAAATGGAGAGACACTATTTTCAAAGATCAATCAATACCGTTAAGATATCAATTCTTCCCAAGTTAATTTATAAATTATAATGTAAAACCTAATTAAATTTCCACCCGGATTTCTGTAAAAACTGACAAGCTAATTCTAAAATTTGTGTAAATGCACAGAAACTAGAATACTCAAAAAACAATTTTGAAATAGACTGAAGTTGGAAAACTTACACTACCTGGTCTCAAGATTTTCTATAAAGCTATAGAATCAAGACACTGTAATTCTGGCATAAGGATAAACATACAAATCAATGGAGAAGATACTGCCCAGAAACAGAGTTACATATTTATGGTCAACTGATTTTCAACAAAAGAATCAAGGTCAATCAATGCAAAAATAATTGTCTTTGTTACAACTTTGGTACTAGAACAACTGACAATCCATGTGGTAAAAAAAGAAAGCAAGCAAAAAAATTCAACCTACATGGCCTATCTTATACAAATACACCTAAATATTTTAAAATGCAAAATTTCTGGAAGAAAACAAAGGAACAAATTTTGGGGATCCAGGAATTGGCAAACTTTTTCTGCAAAGAGCAAGACAGTAAACATTTCAGACTTTGTAGGCTATACAGCCTTGTTGCAAATAAAAAACTCTGTCATTGTAGCATGAAAGCAGCATAGACAATGAGTAAACATTAGGTCATGGCCATATTCCATGAAAACTTTACGTACTAAAACAAGCAGTGGCCTGAATGGGCTGTAGTTTGCCAACCTGAGTTAGGCAATGAGTTTTAGATATGACACCAAAAGCACAAACCATGAAGAAAAAAATGTATATTTTGCACTTAAAATTTTAAACTTCTGCTCTTGAAAAGGCAGTGTTCTGAAAATGTAAAGACAAGCCACAGACTTGGAGAAAATAATTGCAAAACAAATGCCTATTAAAGAACTTGTTTCTGGAGTATAAAGAACTTTTTAATACAATTGTAAGAAAATAAGCAATCGAATAAAAGTAATGGGCAAAATATCTGGACAATGCAAAAAACAAAAACTCATATCAAGGAGCCTAGTTACATGGTACATGTGTTTAATCTTTCCTTTAGGCTCCCTAAAGCTAGACTACTACTCTCTGAATAGAGCTTGGTCCAATGTTCTGCCTTACACAAGAAGATAACCAACAAATGAAATAAAACTATCAGAGCATTTTTTAAAGTTAATTTTTATTTTTAAATTTTTCTTATTTATAGAGAAAGATTTGTAGTTCCACTTATTTATGCATTCATTGGTTGTTTCTTATATGTGCCCTGATCGAGGATCAAACCCAAAACCTTGGCTTATCAGGACGATGCTCTAACCCAGTGGTCAACAAACTCATTAGTCAACAGAGCCAAATATCAACAGTACAATTGAAATTTCTTTTGAGAGCCAAATTTTTTAAACTTAAACTATATAGGTAGGTACATTGTTATTAACTTAATTAGGGTACTCCTAAGGCTTAGGAAGAGCCACACTCAAGGGGCCAAAAAGCCGCATGTGGCTCGCGAGCTGCAGTTTGCCAACCAGGGCTCTAACCAACTGAGCTACCCAGCCAGGGCTAAAAGTTAGTTTTTAGTTAATATATGTACCTGGTACAAAAGTAAACTGTACAAAAGGGTTATAGTGAATAGAAATTTCCCCCAATCACCCAGCTTCCTTCCCTCACTGTGTGTTTACACTTATTCTGCTTATATAAAAGCATTTACATATATATTTTAAAAATGGTGGCATATTAAAATACTTAATATATCTTAAAGCTTACTTCATATCATTCTTTTTAAAAATATATATTTTTAGCCATAGCTGGTTTGGCTCAGTGGATAGAGCATTGGCCCACAGACTGAAAGGTCCAGGGTTCGATTCAGGTCAAGGGCATGTACCTTGGTTGCGGGCACACCCCCA